CCCCCTTGTGGCTGCTATGGTAAATTGTATGGCAAGTTCTAAAATATAATGTCATTATTGCATACTTCCTTATTGAAGTTTTATCTTCTGTGAATGAAAATAGAAGCCAAATTAATATGAGATGCGGTTTTAAAAAATGCAGCTTTTATCTTCTTCTAGGAGCTTTATTTTATTCTCTAGGAACTATTGGACCATTTACTGCACCGTAGTTTTTTCAGTCTTCTATTTCGTATAATGAAAATGGAGTGTTAATGTTACCTTGGCCAACATGTTCAATGGTCCGTCTGGTTGCTAGAATAGTGACATGTTCTTATCTGAAACTACGGTCACTCTACGTTAAGATATCTTTGTTGTTTTTTTCAGTGTACTGGTGGAATACTAAGTGCTATTGAAAAGTCTTGGGAATCCAGGCTGAGACTTCTTTAATGGTTTTCAGAAAAAGCCTGATGAAATCATATTTTCTTTCTCATTTGTCCAAAGTCCTTTATTAATTTTTTGGTTTTTGTTTTTGCAATTGTAGTTTGACTTTCGAAGGAGTGTGTGTGCGTGCGTGCGTGCGTGTGCGTCTTCAGGATCAGATTTTCCTTCCATATAGTTAACTGTTATAACTAGTAGTTAGTCAGACCAGCTATAAGTGAATGAAATATTTGAATAATTTATGTTTAGATTTTTTTTCTTCTGGTTGTTTCAATGTGTTTAAATTGTCTGTGACTCTGTTTTATGACGTTGTTAAAGTACTCAACTCTCATCTTTTGTGGTTGATCTGAAATTGGACCTTACATGTATTCCAGATTTAGTGTTGAACATAACATGACTATTTCCCAAAGTCAGTTCCTTGTTTTCACTGTGCAATGGGTTTCTTTTCAGGGTTGCATTGCTTTTCTCTTGAACATTCCATATTTTTGCCTATGAAGATATGATTCTGGTCAGTGCCTTATGGGGTTTCTGTAGTGATGTGTATGTGAAGTCTGTTACACCCACACTGTGTGTGGATTGCAACTTTTTGTCCCCTATCTGCAGTTTCTATACCTTGCTGGTTAAACTTGTCAGTGACTGTATTCTCTTGATGAATTTCCTGAGCTCGCTTTTGGGGATCTTTTTCCTATTTCAAAAGAACATAAATATATAGAGATATGGTCATATGAGTTTCATGGAATGCTGTCTGTCTTGCTTGTCAGTAACACTGCTCATTCATCCATATACAGGTGTTTAGTTACCAGATGTGTAGATCTCTTTAAAAAAAAAAAAAAAAAAAAAGCTTGAGTTACATGTTAGCAGATTTCAGAGGTTGATGACTCTTTGACCCAAACCATTTTATTTTGTTCTTTAATTGGGATAAATTAATAAATTATGTAACAGCAGCTCTTTGTGTTGCTTGCATCATATTTCTCCTGTTCATCTTTTAACAAGTTTACAAATTGTATGTCCATTACACTTCTTCTTCAAATTCAGGGTTTTAGGTAAAAAATTATAGTGATACATAAATGGTAAGAAATGTTTTTTAAGTTTTCACCTTTTTTTAGAAACATTTCAAGCTTTTTTTCAGTTCACTTAAATAATCCTGAACTATGACAAATTTTTGAAAGTACAAATATCCTATTTAGTCTCTCAATTAATATTAAGTCATAAATACAACATGTAAGATAACTACAGGTAATAGAAATGTTTAAAACATTTAAAAATCACTGCTTGGCCTGCCATCTATTGTACTGGTATAATAAAGACATCGAGGCACTGTTTGCTAATGTAATGCTCATTGTGCACAGAACTGATCGTCTGCATAAACCTTTTTAATGTCAAGACAAGTTCCCCTAAACCATTAGATTTTATAGCCAATTTGGACCAAACACAACCGTTTTCACAAGACCATTCTTTTTCAATTAACACCTTGTAGTGCACTGAAAAAGTGTGAATGAAGCCCATATGAAGGAAGGCCACAAACAATGATTGTGACTAAGCTGAAGCATAACCTGTAGCATGTCTTTTCTTATAGAAATACAGGTTATTGCTTTGCTGGAAATTTTTATACAACTGTTCTTCGTTCCTCTAATTGGCTGGCTGAATAGTTTGTTGATCCCCATTCATTAGTGGCTGCCTTTATGGCCCTTCTATCAATTAACATGTGGCTAACGAGGGTGCAGTTTGTGCAGGAAGGGTGTATTTAACAGTGGCACGGCTTTACATTCCATACGAGATGACTAAGAGCCCATAATCTTTTGTGGTGCCAGTGACATACACCCCACGGATACACATTAATCAGCTGGCCTTTCATGTTTCAGCCCGCTTTTGTTTGATTGGAAACAAAACCCCTAAAACCGCCATCCTAGATTTCAGGAGCAAGTCCAAATTTGGAGACTGACTGAAGCGCTGATCTGCAATCGCCATTCAAGGCTGTGATAATGACCACCCATCACGTAACACCTCATATCTCATTTCTCATTTTGCCGCTCCCTCATCAATTACACACTCCAAACATCAGAGAATGCCTGGTTATCATTAGTCTGTCTCTTTTATCCCAATTCTGATATATTGATATGTAGCAACAGCAAAGTAATGAAGCAGATGGTGATATAATTCAGTCCAAACTGCCTCTATATATCCTCCTGAGACCCAGCTATGGAGTTTTTGCCTCTGTAGTGGACATTATATTTTAGTGAATTTTAACATTTTCATACATGTCCACTGTAGAGGACACCAGGACTAAAAGCATGTTTATTATACATTTTGGGAGACAAAATAATTGAATAGGAAAACAAATTATATATCAATATTCTTATGAAATATTAGATATTATTATGAAAATCTGGCCAATTACTACTCCCATTATTACACTTCTTTTTTCAACATGCTGTCCCAACAGCACTTTAATATGCAAATTAGATACAGTGTATAGATAACATTGTGCTTAATGGGAAAACCAGTTTATGGAATTTTTACACATATTTCATGAAGCAAAATGGTATATCAAATCATTTTGTTATATATTTTATAACATAGTTGAGAACCATCCTTAAAGTTAGTTATAAAAAAATCCTGAAATCTAAAAACTGATTGGTGATTTAAAAAGAAATCCCATTGTTTTTGCCTTTTCATGTCTACTCTTGTCATTTTATTTTAGAGTCCTGGTGTCCTCTACTGTCCTCTACAGAGGACATAGCATAACTTATGAATAAAATACAATTTTTCAAAAATGTTATTTTACCATTTTTTTCTTATGCTCTAAACAATGTAATGACATGAAAAAAATACTAAATTCACAACGCTTTTTATTTCTGGTTCTCAGGAGGGTATTATAATGTTATGTCTGAACAAAGGATAGAATTATGATTTTACTTTTTATTAAAAAGATATTTCATTGTGGTTTTCTGCACAAAACAATTATCCATTTGAAACACATTATTGTATATTTATGTATGTTTACAGAGAGAGAAAAATGACAAAAGATACTATAAAAAAAAAAAAAGACATAAAAGATATTTATCCCCAGAAATGTTTCACTGGATAATTATAATGATTTCCAACACTGTCAAGGTTAGCATGATATTTATTCATTATATTCTTCACTTTACTCCCTTTTTTGCCTGCAAATATAAAACAATTAGTTAAATATCTTTGCAAAAGATATTTATAAACAATATTAAATGTGTAATTTATCAATAATTAAACTATACAATTATTTATATAGTAAATACTTTTTTTTTTTTTAAAGTGATTTGCCGTGTCTCTAATGTTTGTGTGAATGGGATACTTCTTAAGAAATATTTAATAAAATAATCGCGAAAAACACTCACAGCTGATTGAAAGCAGATTTTCAGTACTTCAAATTCTTTGACACACATGTTTTTGGTCAGCTCCTGTTTGCCAGTGTTTGTGGAGGCGACACATTTTCCATAAGCAGCTGCCTAATAATATAATAATAGAAAAACAGACCGATGTACAAACAACAACAAACGGATAAATGCATAATATAATGCATCATATATATATATATATATATATATAAGACAATACTGAGGAAGGAATACTGGTTGACCGTGTACCTCTCCTGAACACTGAGCCAACAGCTCTGGGATGAGTCTCATTCTCGCTCTGCTGCGAGTCCAAACATTTGAACTAGACATAGTTACAAAAAAAAAAACTTCAAAATATACTACAATAATCCTTTTATTTAGCGGCAATCTGTTAATAATCCTACGTTCATTTATTTAAAAACCATGTGTCTCAGGTGCCAACACTTATGCGAGCAACATCAGATGACAAATCGCCCTGTCCCGGCTATCTCTTTGAGGAAATCGGCAGTATCCTTTTTTGCCATTACGTAAGAGAATAGGGCAGAATAATCAGTGGACCTTAACTGTCATGATATTTAAGAAATTTCCCATGAGTCAGTGGGCTGCTGCCAGTGTCTTCTTGAGTAATAATAATTAATAATAATTCATTACATTTATATAGCGTTTTTCTAAGTACTCAAAGCGCTTTACATGGTCAGGGGGTATCTCCTCAGAAAATAGTTATTTTAAATTATATTTCACAGCATTACTGTATTCACTTTATTTTTCATCAAATGTTGCCTTGGTAAGCATAACAGACTCCTTTAAACAAAAACTATAAAAACATGTCTTTCTTAGTGTACAGTGGCCCCCCGGACCCCATCCATGGAAATGGTCTCTTTCAGAAAGTCAGAAGCTCGGCTCAGGTAAAACTTTCTCTCTGTGCAGACAAATCAATATCATCGAACAATTAAACTGCAGTACAAGTCATTCCTATGACCAGTACCTTTTTTGCAGTCTTGTATGTCAACCTGTCAAGTCAAGGTTCTATTCATAAAAATATGCCAAATATAATTAATACAGGAAGCAGTCTGTTTTCTGTGTATAATTTCTAGTTATTTATTAATACCTGAATTGAGTCAGTGTTTGTTTCTATACAGGAGTTGGGTACCCTACTCTTTAATGATACCATGTCCCTAGATTCTGGACTGTCTCCACTCAAAACAGTGACACAATCTGTGGGTGAGTGAACCAGGATTTGTGTTTTTGAATGTCTCTATTTAGTTTGTTTTAATATAAGCTTAAAGTAGTAAAGTGTTATAGTATGTGTATGATGTATACCAAGATGTTTGTTTGCAGGAATGGGCTCAGAGTCACTCAGGTCTGGCATGCAGGGGTTCGGATACAGCCCAGGAAGGAAAGAGTCCAGTAAGACACAGACATTTAATATCATTCATCCTACTCCTGACCTAAACTAATTTTTACAACTGGAAGGTTGGTGCTCGTGTGTGTTCTGTCTTATTTCACGCAATGTTTGCCTCACTCGTTCAGGTGGAGGGACTCTTGGACAAGATTCAGAAAGCTGCCGAAGTGGTTGCCAGCGCTGTCCTTCCTCCGACAGAGCATCCTGGCATTTGTGTCCATGACAACCACTACCACGCTGTGGTGGCGCCCTCTGCTACTGTGGAGATGGCAGAGCCAGCATGTGCCTACAACATCCAATCTCACTGCCACAGAGGTGAGCCATGCACTGATTTTAAAAGCAGGTCAAGTGTATGTTAAGAATGTCAAAGAAATGACCATTTCTCCTCCTCTCAGCATCTCACAGGTGCCCAGGGCAGGCTGGAGGAGGCTGGGAGGAAACGGACAGTGGGCACAGCTCATCCCACAACTCATCCCAGGAGACTGCGGAAGCCAGCCGGACCTCATTGGGAGGAAGCAGTAAGTCGGGCGGCTCGGGCAGCCACTCCGGTGCGAGTCCGGAGAGCGGTGACCTATCAGAGCGGTAAGGGACAGACTGCTACAGGGCTGCACACATTGCTTTCTCAAGTGTTTGAGGTCATTAACGCCAGGTCATTGCATAGCTAAGGGGAAATGTAATTCTGGCGTCTTATTTCCAGTATTAAAACAACAGCATCCCATGTCATTTGTCATAATTGGCAACAAAATCACAAGAAATATAATATATAAGAAATAATGTTATTTTTTGCATTATATCATATTTTTAATATAAAGGAGGCTTATTTTTAGGACCATTAAATTAAGCAAAAACTCTCTTTATCATATTGAATTTTGAATGCTTTTTTTTTTAGCATTTCTCATTTTCAGTGACCCTCAGATTATCATTACTGTTAATCAGTAATTTATTAACGGTATTACAATAAAAAATATGATTTATACATTTTTTAAAAATAAATCAGCATACATTATGGGCAAATAATGGCAAATAAAATATATGGGCAAACAAATATTATTATGGTTATATGTGTAAGTATTTGGGTATTTTTTATGTTTTTGAAAGAAGTCTATTATGCTCACCAAGGCTGCATTTATTTGATCAAAATAACTGTTTTCTGTTTATTATATTTTCAAATGTAATTTATTCCTGTGATGGCAAAGCTGAATTGTCAGCAGTCTTTACTTCAGTATTAATTGTCACATGATCCTTCAGAAATCATTCTAATGTGCTTATTTGGTGTTCAAGAAACATTTATTATTGTTATCAATGTTGAAAATGGTTGTGCTGTTTAATATTTAAAACTGAGTATTCAAAAGAACAGTATTTATTTGAAATAGAATGTTTTGTAACAAAAATGTAATTACTGTCACTTTTGATCAATTTATTGTGTCCTTTTTGAATAAACATTAATTTCTTTAAACCCACAAATATTTTGTAATGAGAATGAGATTTTAATATAGGCTTAAATTTCACAAAACAAAATAATAATTATTATTCTTTTTAATTTGATTCTTTTTAGGTTGTGTGAGATTCACATTGTTATTTTGTGATATTTGTGTTCATTTTAATCAGTGTGGAAGCCATTCAGTTGGGGGACTGTGGTCAGGAGACGGCACTTATCAACAGACTGACTAGTGGTTCCAAAGTCTTCCTGTCCAGAGAGGAGAGCCAGCACTTCATCAAAGAGTAAATTATTCATTATGAGACATGTGCATGATTTTGGCATCAGTGTAGCCAAATACTGATGTACAGTACACTCTTGGGTTGTAATGTCAGTGCATGCAGTGTCATAGCTCAAATTGTTTACGTCTTGATCCTCTATTTTCTTTCAGATGCTCCACTCTCAACTGTGAGGTGGTCGTTGAACTTTTGTCTCGCAAACTCCAGGACCACACACAAATCGTCCAGATGGTAAAGTCTCCTATTCTGTTACACTTAGAAGTTATTTCAAATAAATACATCCTTAATTTTTGTATTTAACTTGTATGAGCAATTTATATTGATAACATACCGCATAACCAATTTGTATTTCCTTCCTCCAGAGGGCGTTGTGTGCTCTGGCCTGCCTGATTTCTTCAGATTTCCTGTCTCTAGACCATATTTCGAATATCATACATAAACACCTTGCACAACTTAGTGAAGGAACCGCAGGCCCTGTCGCCAACAAGGCAACCAAGGTAACAATTGCCCAACACAATTGCCAAAGTTTTTAAAAATAAAATTATTGGAATCTATCAAAATATAGATTATTGGGAGTACTGTATGTTGTACAGGAAAATACAATTTCAGTCTTTCTACTTTTAAATTTCACCTTTACTTCAATTCCATTTTGTGACTAATTGTGAAATTTACTAGCAATTTCTAAACAAACATTGCTAGCAAAAACTGTTTCTACACCAATTTTTTCCAGTGTAGTGGTATTATCTTTGTAATTATGTAGGACTAACAGATTATTTTTGTTTAATTAGCTCTTAAGGCAGTTTGAGGCCTTGCTTGGTTGTGTCACAAATTCCAAATGTGACCGTGCTGGATGTCCAACCTCTGCCAGCTCTTCGCTTTCAGATCAACCCTCTGAATCTATAACCGTCCCCTTTGTTCCGGGACAACTAGGAGACAACTTAACCTCTGTTATCCCATCAGAGGAGACCCCATCTACACATCACCTGCAGGGTAACAGCACTGCACCTGGGTCTCATATGAAAAGAAAACAAGAAGATGGAGAGTACAGGAAAACGGAAACCTCTAAAATCTCAGAACCACCCAGACTGTCACTCTTCAGTGGAATGGAGTTAGTCAACAGAAGCAAACCTGTATGTTTGGTCGAGCCTGTTCCTGTCAAGTCAGACGCCCAGATAAGTGTAGAAGCCACTACAGACACAGACTGTGCAATTGAGAAAAGCTGTGAGAGAACGGCAGGCTCACTCACATCTAGTGAGCAAGTGTCTGCCTTCTCCTTCCTCAATCTCTGACGCCAACATTCATTTACGGTTATTTGCCGATTTGGGGAAAAATAACTTCAGAATTACTAAAATCATGCATGTCTCAAGTTTATATGCTGACTACATGTATCCAGGAATATTCCAGTTGCTGTAAAGGAATTTTTGATCAGAAATTATTTTTCATGTAAATGTGGTCACAGTATTTATGTAGGTAACATCCACCTGCAATTGCAACTGCAACATACTCTTTACTCACTGTCTAAATGCTGCTAGTGGTTTACATTAAGTGTTCAGACTGGGAATAAGTCAAGTCTTGATCATTATCAATAATGGTACATCTCTTCAGATCATTCTGAATTCACTGAGATACATTTGAGAAACAACTCAGGGTGCTTTTCTGTTGTGGTGTTAAACACAAGTGTCACTGCAATGGTTGCTACTACTTGCACTACAATCTTTCCTCTTACTTAAAGCACTTATGTCTTCCTGTGTGTATTTATAAAATAAGAACAAACATTAACACCCATATTGAGTTTAATCCGAATACATCCTGCCAAAACTTATGTGCAACTATATAAAGAACTGTCTTGTGTGAAAGTGTTGCAGTATTTAAACTTGAAAGGCAGGTTTGAATAAGAAAATGGCCTCATGTCCATTCAGAGCCTGAAACAGAAAAAAAAATGAATACATATATTTAAAAAAAAAAAAAGCATTATTTTTATTTACATCAGCAGAACATTTAATAAAATAACAATGATTTCAAATATTGTATATATGCTAGCTATATATTATATACAGTCCTACATACAAAACAATGGTGACCGCAGGGACGATTTTCATCATCAGAAGCTAATGGTCTTTCACACAAAGCATATAGTGCCTGGGATGTACAGTATTGTGCACGGAGTAGTTTAAAGTACATCAGTATCTCGTACACAATTAGATCACCTGCTTGAAATGATGTAACTGTCCTCATACAATCTGTTTGGACTAAGCTTCAAAATTTTGTTGAGGATGTATGTCTAAAATTAACTGAACTATACTAAATTTAGGAGCACTACACCATGTGAAAAGAATCATGTATATTGGTCAAACACAGGCATAAATGGGTTGTATTGATATTTTATGGTAAAATATTTAGTATCTTGCAGTGACGTGATACTGTAGAGTGCTTAGTTAGGTGCAAGCTAATTTTAGGTCATTCCTGGTCTGCCCATAGAAGACGAGTCCTCGTATTACAGGGAGTGCAGTGACTGATCTAAACTAGTTTATTTCCAGCTCTGATTATTGCAAAATGAAACCAGGAAATTCTTGTGTGAATATCAGACATGGCTTTCAATTTGCAGTTACTGGATTTGCACAATGATTCATTGGTTTACACCTTTAAATTCATAGACAAAGAGTGCTTCATTATGTACATTAACAGACCTGAGTCCAGCATGCATTTTCAGAATAGTCTCTCTGATAATATGTGTTTTTTCTAAGGTAGAGTTAAAGAGAGACTATGTGATATAAAAATTCTAAGGATCTGGCACCAAGTTCCATTTTTAAAGTCTGAACCCTCATGGCACGCAGAGAGAAATCCTCTAGACCTGAGTTTTGGATATGCAAGCAATCATCAAGCCCCAAAAACTTCCTGAAAGAGTCTAAATTCCAGTCAGAACCAAACCGGAATCTTCTGTTCACACGTCAACAGCATTATTAATCGTCATGGAATGACTCCAAAGCAGGGCCGCATTATAATCGCATGGTTTCTAGACTTCAGCTCTTAAATACAGGAAATTATTTGATTTCTTTTCCTTTTCTAGACCAGACAAAGTGTGTCAGAATTGGCCAAATGCATGTCTCTGAATAAAACGTGACCCAGAACTGCAGTAGCACCATGTGTGACTGTCTAGTAAAGGGCAAAAGCTTACATAATCTTGCAGGAACTTGACAATTTTCAAGATATTTCTTTTATGTAGCACCTATGTGAAGTTCATGGTCAACACATCAAGTAGAGCCCCACATAAACACTATGAACATGAAAAAGTGCTATAAGAAAGAAGACAAATGCATTTAGAGGGCCTATATTTGTGCTAGGCCTTCAAATGGCCCATAATGCCACTCTTAAAAATAAAGGTGCTTCACGATGCCATAGAAGAACCTTTTTATCTAACAGGTTCCATAAAGAACCTTTAACACCTGAAGAACCTTTCTGTTTCACAAAAGGTTCTTTGTGGCGAAATAAGGTTCTTCAGATTACAAAAAGGTAAGAAAGAGATGGTTCTTTAAAGAACCTTTGACTGAATGGTTCTTTGTGGAACCAAAAATGGTTCTTCTATGGCATCACTTGAAGAACCTTTTGAAGCACCTTTATTTTTAAGAGTGTGGCCCTCTAAAAGGTCCCCTGTACATTGTTCCTTAATGCCAATGGGTGCTGGAAGAGTCACGTCTGTCCTTGTTGACCATGAGTTTGCAAGCTACTGAAGTGGGCCTCCCTTAAGATACGGTTGATGTGATCGTATGAGACGTTGTGGCTCAAGGAGACGGCCGGCTCTTCTGCTGAGATGGTGGGGGCAATGGGGCTGCAGGGAGCCTGGGATACATGGAGTCCTCTTTGGTCAGTGTTCTGGATGTTGGAACTGGCTCCTGCCATCCGCTCCGGGCTGCTGATCCCACTGCTGTCACTGCTGGAAGACTGTTGGGTGACAAGGAATTGAGAATAATAATAGAGGGGTGGAGGTGGTTTCTGTGCTTTACCACTTCTGATTAAAGTTTTCTTTGGGTTTACTAGTTAATATACTACCGTTCAGAAGTTTGGGGTCAGTAATTTTTTTTAAAGAAATATGGCTCGTTTCTGCCACGGAATAAAAAATACAGGCAACTGCAACTTTTTGCAATCTCACAATTCTAACTTTTTTTCTTGCAACTGCAAGTTTATATCTTGAAATTCCAAGTTATACATTTGTAATTCTGAGTTTACATCTCATAAATCTGTCTTTTTTCTCTGAATTCTGAGTTTACAACAGGGTGCTGAAAATTCAGCTTTGCCATCAAATTACTTTTTAAAATATATTCAATTAGAAAACAGTTGTTATAAATTGTAATAATAATTCACAATATTACTGTTTTTACTGTATTTTTCATCCAATAAATGCAGCCTAGGTGAACATAAAAGACTTTAAACACTAATAGTGTCCTACTTACGAAATTTTAAAATGTCTTACTATTTGGTAGTCAGAACAAATAAAAAAGAAAATAAAAGAAAAATAGCATCTGAAATTTCAGTTCATTCATGGAAGGTCAAGTGGATGATTTGGTCTGTGGGATACAGCCTTAACACTATACTTCAGCACTTTCTCTAGTGTGTACCTTTACGAAATATATTCTAGAATGAACATCAACAGTCTCAGTTTACCATTCTTGAATGAAAGAACGTTCCTGGCCAACTCTTGTGCCTTCTTACCTCAGAGTCCCAGACATCACGGCCAACCTCAGGGAGAAAGGAATAACCTCCACACCTCTTTGCCTGGGGCAAGACCTGAAGCTCCTCAGCATCACAGCTGCGTCTGCGTTTTCTGTTGACAGAGATCATCGCCTTTGACTACTCTGTTCAACATGCATAGAATAATTTGTAACAGTCTTATTATTACTAAACAACCAGGTCTTTTTGAGCTGATTCTGAACATTCTAGACACATATCTTTCTAAGTAGTAAGTATCACCATTCCCTAAGTAATGGGGCAGTGCAGACTTGATTGCAACCGTTAGTCACCAATATGTCCACTGCAGGATTATGACTCAGATTTAAGAATAAAAATGTCATCAGCTCAAGAGCTGTCAAAGCTTGATGCTGGATAACAGCACAGACTCATTTAACCGATATAGTTGCTAGTCTAGAGGATCAGCCTTCTAAAAGAACATCTAAAAATAGCCAGCAGATATGAAGTACTACACTAAATCTGCATCATGGATGTCTGCAGGACATGTGTGTTACATAAATGCATCATGAAACATGCATGCAAACTATTAGAAGCAAATGGTGTTACCTGCTTTCTGTCAACATGTCGTATCTGTGCATTTGACAGTCAAATAAGGGCACACAGCACCTCTCAGTCTCAGAGACCACCGGCTTTCCTTTCAGCAAAATGAAGGGATCTGTCAAGATTCTCCCCTAATGATGAGCGAAATGACAAATGTAATTCACAGTGAGAAGCTGCAGACACGTTTACATTGCAGTGCCGGTGTGCAGAAGGCATATTAACAATATTAAATAATTCAGGCCTGCCAATATAAGCTTATAATATCAGCTTATATGCGTTATGATCCATTCGTGAGATACATTGAGCTATTATATTCATACTAGAAAAATGATCTGCATAGGGTTGACAAAGAACGGAAGGGAAACACATTATCTATATAATTTAAATATAAACGTCTGATGTTAATTGACATTATTGTCTGAAATCAGTCAAAATGGCTCATTTACATAAGTCCACTGATGCAAATCGGTAATAATGTTACAAAAATAGTGCGTTCAGAATGTCAAGCAGAGAGATGGATAGCACAATGCTATGTGTAGTTCACTTTACTTCCTCCTAGCGACGAACTGTTCCTACGACAAAACAAACGAAGAGATTTGAACGGAATAAATAAGTTTGTGAAGAGACGAAAGGGTTGTGATGTACTCTACCTCTGTCTGTTCACAGATGGATCTTGACTTCAGTCATTTTCTGAAGTTACAATCTCTCTCTCTCTCTCTCTCTCTCTCTCTCTCTCTCTCTCACTCACTCACTCAGTCTTCCATCTGTTGCTGTCATAATGACGTAACATGCGTGCCTTCGAGCGAGGGGTGACGTACGATTCGTAATGTTTTATTTTGAATTGAATTATTATTTTGGGATTTTTCTACATTAGATAAAACATCTACGGTGATCTGGATTTGGCAAATCATCTATTAGTTTAGCATTTTATCCCCTTCAATATTTTATTCAGCAATGACGTCAATTTGTAGTTCAACCCGCAAATTGGGGAATTTATCCTCAAACCTCTGTATTATTCCGTAGTATTAGCCAACAATTTGACATTTTAGAAATAGACCATTTTAATATTACGTTATTCCTATTTTTATTTTCAAGGAAGATTATATATATAAAGATACATATCTAAAGAATTCGTGTATGTATATATGAATCCTTTAAATAACTCTAAAAATGTATTTGATTGTAAGACTTCCATGGAATACTAATACATGTAATACTAATATTAAGTTAATATAATTCATTGTAGAATTTTATGTATTTTTACCCATATAATTTTTTTGTTTATTGTCTTTTGCTTGTAAATGTTTCTGCTTTGTCACGATAAATAGCCTACATAAATAAATAGCCTTTGGTTCCCTTGGAAATTTATTAGGGTTTTTTTGAATAACAAAATGTGAAAGTGTCTTGTTAACCACAGACCTTACATTACTCATAAATAAAAAACTCCAATTCTAAAAAACCGTCTACAAACGGAAAAGCTATATTTTTTTATTGTAATAATTATATTAATATCTGAATTGCCTCGGAAGATCTCTGGAAACACTATCTGTGAACTATGCTTCAAACGATGCTTCATTAAAAAATGAAATTCAATTTCGAATGTATAGCAAGTCGCTCCTGACGTTCAAAAAAGATTGTTTAATTGCTTTCGCGGGAATGACTTGATCAATGGTGCATACATGCAGTACTTACACACAGGCACTGATAAAGACGGCTAACGGGGTCTTTCGTAACTCAAAACAGTCCAGCATGTCCGCTAGCGCTCCGTCACTTACCGCAGAGTCCGTTATTTTACTTAATATTTAACTTAATGTTTAACCGTTATTTAACACATATCCGCAAGAGCTACATAAAAATGCATCGGAGTTTTTTATAACTTGTTTATGTGTGGCTGCTTTAGAAACGTTCCCAATTCAGAATTTAATAATGTCTTTAAAAGACACAGAGAAGATCTTTACCTCTTTCATAGAAAGATGGCAGTGGAATGATAAAGTATGAGTGTAGGTAAGTATCAAATCTACGTATCTGATCGATGATTTGTCCATTTTAGTATCTCATGCCTTATTTGTTGCTTTTAAGATTACTTAAAATCAAAATTGGAGATTTAAGGCCACCTGGTGTACTACTGAAAGTTGACTAAATTACCTTTTAGCAGTTATACAGATATTTCAAATCTATAGCTGTTTAACAGATAAAGGAATTATACCACACAACACAGAAAATGGCTCATAAAGCAATTTCATCAGGTCTTTAAGATGTTTCTTCTGAGAGTTATGCGGGAAAATATTCAAGTGCTTCTCCAAGCAGCCTTGATCTTAATCCTTTTGGTCCAGTCCTGTAACATCTGACCATTCATTGATTTTTTTTCCATTTAGAAGAATGTCCATATTGTGGAAAGCCCTTCAAGAGGCTGAAAACCCACCTCTCTCACTGTAAAATGGCACCAGTTGTACAACCCAAGAAAAGCATTCAAGCACCCAAAGGATTGAGTGCAACCATTTCCAGACAGAAGATCTATAAAAAGACAGCAACAACAGAAATAAATAATGTCATATTTGATGAGACACTAACCTCCAAAGGAAGAAGGAAAGATGATATTCACAATGCAGACAGTCTTCACACAACTACTGAGGTCAAAGTCCCATCAGCTCAGACTCGGAACACGGAGAGGCCTAAAAGCACATGGCTTACTAAAAGACAGAAGGAACTTGAGAGATTACAGTTGTTAGTGACAGTCTCAAAGAAGCCAAGCAACTCTACCTCATTATCCAACAACGAAGGAGATAAAAGCTTTTGTGAGATCTCCAAAAGACCAAAACAGGGAACATCTCAAAGTAATGGAAAAGGTACTAAAGGCAAAAAGAAACTAGAGATGGCACCATTATCAGAGCACTTGTCCATCACCAAGAGTAAAATCAATACCCCTGGATTTGTTCCAGCAATTCTTAAAAATTGCAGTGTGCAACATGAAAAACCAAAACTCAAAGTTAACTTCTTGGAGGAGCTTGAAAGACTGAACAGTCAGAACAAGGATTGTGATCTAGTATCAAGTGCAAAAGAGCATAAAGCTCATACTTTCTTTTTATCCAAGACTTCTGTGTGGGAGCACATCAATGACAGTTTGTATTACAAGAGGTCTTATATGTTTGTGCCTTATCCTACTATGGAAACATCTGAAGATTCTTCTTTGGAGACCAATGCGATTTCTATTGTGCAACAATCAAACAAACCCGAAACAGCAGTTACCAAGGTTGCCATTCCAACCTCACCCACTTTAACTGAAACCTTCATTCATCAACCCACAGAAGACATCCTAAATTCAAGATTGCAAGGCATCAGAATTCTATCATGGAGTCCAGAGATAGTGACTACTTGCAAAAGAACACAGTTCTCCACAGAACCTTTAGGCAGCTATGCTAATGAATGCATTTGGATTAAGGATCAGTCTGCTGGACCAGCGGCCCAAAGTGAAGGTAATGCATGGTTTATGTGATCTTTGGTTATTTATGTAATGGATTTTAAGTAAATAGGCAATGCCTTTGAAAAAAAGAGTAAGCACTTTAATATTTGTATCTATTTTTTTCAACTTTGACTTATGGGACTAATTAAAGCTTGAACTCCCCTAAAAGGAGTGAAAACAAAAGGTTAGCTATGTATTATTTTTACATAGCAAACTATATGCCTAGGGGCTCTGATGATGTGGAATACAGTAATAAAAAACAGAATAGCATGGAATGTCACGGAATTTGTCCAAGTTTTAATGAGCAAATCAAAAGTAGGGCTGTACACTTATCGAAGTCATATTAAGAAGATATGGGCTAGTGTCTGTGAATATTAAACCACTAAAAGACTGCTATTGAAACATCAAGTCTGCATGTTCTTTCATCTACTACACATACTCAAGCACATGTGACGCCCCTGGTGTTTTCAGCATCTGCCGTCTCACTACATGAGGACATGAACACATTCACTTTTTTCACCAGAGTTGCTCTGACTCTGAGAGTTAACTTTTTGAGTATTTCAGCATTTCATTTAATAGTAAACGCTTCATTATCACGATGCATAAAGCACAGCTCACACAACTCCTTTTCAGACCAAGCAGCTTTCTGTTGGTCAATGCGCCGAATCCACTTGACCAGATTGAACATGTTGCGAAATCTGCATTGGGAAGTCTTTCACCCTCATGTGAAATTCTCAGGAACGGTGATTCCCATAGAAATGACCATTTCTCCTGCAAAATCTGCAGAACAATGTTAAATGTGAACACACCTTGAGTCAGAGTACACTAAATACACTCGCAAAAAAAAGTTGAGTTCGGTAGCCATAGCAACAGTGCACTTCTCACAAGCATTTTCTGTTAAGATCAAATTGAACAGTATTACAAAACACAAGTACTGTACTGCCTTTGTCACTTTTTTAACACATATCAAAAGTATCACACAAAAAGTGCTTTATTTTTTAAGATGACATTTGGGTAAGTGTGCTATAGATGCTAAAGATAGTTGCATAACACAAACAAAGCATGAAATCCTGAAAATTACAGAGAGAAATGGGATCTGACCAATTAAAAAAAGTTGTACGCTTCAGAAAGTTTTATCTTTTTTTCCATGATTGGCAAGCTAGTTTTCATTCTACCATTATGAGAACATGAAAGACTGTCTATTTTGGACTATCACTGTATCAAATCATTTTTGGTGAGATTATTAGACAGCTAATTGCATATAAACAACAGCTATTGTAAACAACATTTCATTATCATAGGTTTACATTTGGGTACCATATAATTATTATGCACAGTCTTCAGTTTCTGAGATATCAAGCTGAAAGTGAATGAGCTACACTTTTATCAACTTGGCTGGAGGTATTAAAAATATTATATGTGAAACAGTTTCTCTCCTTATTCCTCCTATTGCAATTTTTGATTCATTCTTTCATGTAAATCTTTAATTTAATTCAAGTCCCTCATCCTCATTGTGCTTCCACACCAGTTTTCATGACATGTCCAATTTCTCATACCAATCCTAAACAAAAAGAGATTGTTTTCCTTGCAGTGCCTGTAGTGCAGCGGAAACTTGGAGATGTCAGGTTGAATGAACTTAGTGTCTGGCTTGGCGCTCGAACTCCTGTGTCACCCAGAGAGATTGTAACCATGTTGAAGCAAGGTTTGTTCCTTAACAATCATAATACAACATAACATAGCATTCGGTCGAGTGTTTTTGAGTTTCTTGGTTGTATGTGATCAGGATGGCAGTGGTACTACAGGAAGTATATTGATGTTCGTAGAGGAGGAATCGGTGGGATATCCATGCTGTTGACTGGATACTGTGTCCTGTGTTACATATGGAACTACCCATATCTCAGTGAGTCTGAATTAATGTCATCATCCCATAATCATTGACACGCATAAATAAAATGTCTTGTTTTATGCTGTTTTATAGAGAAAGAACGCTGGAGAAAGTACCATTAAGGACGTTTGATGGTCTTCATAATTGTAGCACACTTTGGAGAAGCAGCAGCTTTGTGTTCAGGGCCATGAGGGCACAATAAGATTAATAATTAATAGGACAATATTATAACACCAGCAACTAGTAGTTCACTGCAATATGAGGTTTGCTGTATTTTTGTTAGAATGTGTTAGTATTTTCTGGAAGCATGGATAATCGAGTTATCTTATTATATTTTTAAATATTCATTTATTCACAAAGAAAGAGAATGTTAAGCTAAACTTATATTTATATAATTTGAAAAATTGTTCTAACAAGTGTGCAGTTTTTGTGTAACCGAGTAGTGGACTAAGATCTAATAAATTACACAATATTGTTCAACACTGTTGGGTTTTCTTTGTAAGACTTGTCATATATTTCATTTATTTGTTTACATGATCATCCTTTAATTTGCTAACTTATATGAAAAATATATAAATATCCATAATTCATCAAAAATGAAGACATTACAAAATATTAGCTGTATTCAAAATGAATTTAATATTTATCTTTGCTGTTGTAATGAACACTCACAAAAACAACAAATCATGAACTGACCACATACAGTATGACGTGAACACATACCTAACATAATAAAAATAACTTTTTGTTTTACATTCTTTTTCTTTACAAAAAGTATAAATATTTTGTGTTTCATGTTTTTCTTTTTTGTAATACAAACATTACAAATCAAGTTTTGGGTGATGCAGAAAATAAAACGGGGTATTACGATAACTGAAGGCCATACTCGCACAACAAAAAGCAGTAAAAACAAATGATAGACTATTTAAACTTGTTTTCACTCGCTCTCTCCTAAGGCAACGAAGCCCTTCGAAGTGAAGGTCTTTCAGAATGCTCTCTAATACCGACCGCTAGAGCTCAGATCAGAGAGAAGAATATTTCACTTTTTTTCTGTTTGTCATTTTTGGTTGAACTGCTGGGAAAGACAGTGGAGTTTAGTGTTAATGATGCAAAAACAATGGGATGACATGTATAGATGGAAATAAAGCAACCTTCCCTTCAGCTCTGGAATGGATGCTAATGGAAATGCAGACTTGTGAAAATGTCCACACACTGCAGTTTCTCTGCTCTGGTCAGTTTTTTGACATTGTCTTGGTCGTATTCCCATCATTGAATCTCACAAGCCTTGTAATGGCACAGTTAATATATGTTCTATCCTACAAAATACAACTGAATGCTAACAGTCTCCTCTTCAGGAATAATTTCTCAAAACTGGTTGTTGAAATGTGGGCCTGTCCTCCTTCAACCAAACTACATTATCTCAGTTAACAGCCATCTCCTAATGCAACTCGTTAGGGAATGAAAACCTGATATGCTGTGACGGCACTACTGCTGCTTTCACCACTTTAAAACTCATATGAGAAAAGTGATCTGCAAAGGGGCTGTAAGAGCTGTGAGCATGGCTATCTGTCAAGAACAAGGTCATGTCCACATGTGCAAATAGGAGCTGCCACCAGAGGCAGAAACTGCAAACCGACCGCTAAGACCACAGCCTGACCAGCAGGGGACTCAACGCATGAGGGAAAATGAAAAGTTTCAAACAACATCTATGTGGGTGAATCTCACAGAAATCTCAAATCAAAGGAAAGAAATAAGAAATTATATTTGTTTTTTGTTGTATTGTGACATTATTGCATGACTATAAACACATTTAAAACCAATTTTCATTAATGCAACAAAACATATTTTCATTATAATTAAAGTAGCAATATATGATAATGTGAGAAAAAAACGAAGATACATTTCAATTATAATGTACTTATACATAACGGTATTGTTGCACTGTCTTTAATTCACGCTTATTAAAATATATACCATACTTTATTAAAAAAGAAAAAGTTTTTTTTTTTTCAAAATATGTAATATGAATTTGATGACAATAATAAAAATTCAAATGTAAATACAACAATAAAAATTTGAGGTAAAATTTGCTTAATTATCATTAAAAAATTGCAATCACAATGCAAAAAAACTAACATATTACTGATCCTAAAAATGGTTTTAATTTCGTTTTGCTAAATATGACTTATTATTACTTCCTTTCATTTTGGGTCGAAATGTGTTTTTATGAGATTCACCCATGCAAATTCTTTGAGACACTAACTTAAGATACAAAACAGCACATACTTTCTCCAGGCAGGGAGCAGCACAGAGTTTACAAAAAAAAAAAAAAATGTATTATGCATCATTAAAAAAAAAAAAAAAGAATTAAACAAAAATAGATAAACATAATGTAACATTGTACCCTCAATCTGAGGACTTAACTTTCCCCTGCACAAAACCACACAAGTGAGTTTTGTCTCTGTGGAGAGATCACATACCTGTAAGGTACAACAAAAAAGTAAACCAAAAAAAAAGAGCACAACCAATGCTCAAAAACAATTCAACGCGCAGGTGTGTTCATGTGCATCACTTGGTCAAAGTCTACTGCAATGATACAACATAAGTGTTGAGACAACCATACAACCTTAAGTGCAGACAGACTATTAGACTAAGTGTCTGATATTGACCGATAAACTACAAATATCAATGTCTAGTCATGACATTTCAAACATGACACTTACTTACTACTTGATTGTGTGTGTATGTGTGCATGTATTTATGTGTGTGTGTGTGTGATTACAAGTGTATCCTGTGAAGCACTGTCAAAAAGGCTTACTTATGTAAACTTCTCTAGGACAACAGGCACAGTATTAGAGTATCACCATCACCAGATTCACCTTCCTGTTCCTCGACATCATCAGAGCCGTTGTGTGCATTTTAACCCCCAATAATGCCAATGTACATCTGTTCACACGTGCCGTGGAGTTCAGCTTGCACACACATGGCATGAAATGAAATGAGATTAACATGGAACAACTAACAAACATAAATATGGCACTGTCTAACATTCTAAGATGCTATTCACGGCAGCCTCAAGCACAGAGTCAGTGTCAGCCAATGGGGCGTGACTATGATCTGAGAGATGTTGCTGTTCATGACCCTGCACCAGGTTCAAAGGGTAGCCTTGGGCGGAGCTATGCTGTGATTGGCTTGGAGATGTAGGGTAGTGTGCATGTTGACTGTTGCTGCTGATTAGGTTGATGGATTTCTTTTTTTTTAGATCCAGGATGCACTTGATGGGAGTTCTTCTGTGTTCCTCCATTCCTTGTTGTTGAGGTTCTGTCCTATAAGCAGGTTCTCTGTGGCTGTTCATACCCTGCCCATCTCTTCCGGTGTGACTTATGGAATGCCTTGGGGATGTCTCCATTACACTGGGATTGCCCTCATGGGCGGCTGGGGTCAAAACTTCTGCACTTTGGATCTTCAGTTTAGTGCCACAGCAGAAGTCTTCCAGAAAGCCATCTGAGAGAGCGATGTAACGAAACATTACAAACATACAGCCAATCAAGCACAAAAATGTTTTTAAAGTTTGGTTGAATTTATTAATATATGCTCTCTAGGGCTTTGGCAATTGTATATAATTATACATGTTACTTTGCATAACAAAACTGATGTGCACATATTAAAAAACATTTTTTAAGTTGATCACAAAAAAAGTATGAGTGAATACCAAACTCCAAAAATACATTTTATTTCCAAATTCTACTAACTTTATTTAACCAAACTAAAACGAATTGGAAACATTGTGAATTTACTTTACATCAACATGGTTTTAAACACAATATCTGAGAAATGTTTCAACTTAGGTTAAAATGTTTCAACTTAGCAATGACAGACAGTGAAAATGGCTTACCTGGATCCACTAATATCATTCGTTTGTCTTGGGTCAAGTTGCCCCGTTCCTCTTGATTAAAAGTCCTGTCAATCATCACCATTTCTGATGAAGGGCTGGACCTCTGAAAGAGCAGTAAGCAGTGATCAGTTTTGCATTAATGGGAATAATATTAGAGTAATTACCTACAAATAATTCTAAGAGGTCTTTTGTACATCATTTAAAGTGCTGTGTTCTACACCCACCTCTGACTCCACCATGAGTAAGCGCCTGTATTTGTTCACCATGGCCTGCGTTCTGCTTAACACTTGTACAGCAACTGCCTCAAACTCCTCATCAACTGTAAAGTTAAAAATGGCCATCAGAAACTAGGTCATATTCAGTCAATACTTATCTGTGGTTAAATATTAAATATGTTGAGGAAATGTTGAAAATGCACCTTTGGTGAAATCTTCATCTCGTGGTGGTGAGCCTTGGAAAACATGATAGGGCAGTAATCTGTCAATTACATCATTAAATGAAGTGAAGGGCGTCCGCTCTGAAGACATGACTCCAATGTGATCTCGTCTTAACTGCTGGAGAACCCTGTAAAATAAGACCCAGTGTTACAATCATTATTTTTTACTATTTGTTGACGTCACCAACTGTAACAGGTGCAGAGTACAATTTGGGCACTCACATTTCTCCTCGAGTAAGTTGTTGAGTTGCAGGTCGCTTCGGTGTGAGAAGCAATTCCTGACTGACAGGAGTGAGTGTTTTCACAGCTAAGATTTAATAAAATAAAGAAAAAAAACTTTACCGATGCAAGAGAGGACATTTTTTTCCACAAAAATATTAAGCAGTACAATTGTTTTAACAATGATAATAATAAGAAATGATTCCTGAGCATCAAATCAGCTTATTAGAATGATTTCTGAGGGATCATGTGACACTAAACACTGGAGTAATGGCTGCTGAAAATTCAGCTTTGCCATCACCGGAATAAATTACATTAAAAAATGTATTAAAATAGAAAACAATTAATAGTAGTTTTTACTGTACTATTCTATTTTTAATCAAATGAATGCAGCCTTGGTGAGAATAAAAGATTTATGCTTCAAAAACATTACAAAATTTTACTGACCCCACTCTTTTGTATGATAGTGTATATATGTATGTAGGAATGAATAAATTAATGCATAAATAAATAAATAAGAAGTTTTCATTCAAACTGGTCACTGACAGAAACACCAAAATATTTCAAAGGAGTCTTACTTTTGGTACCAAGGAGATTAACTAATTGTGTTTGCCCTCTTTGTGTTGCTGTTGTGGTGTCCTATGAAATTGAAGAAACATTCAAATGTGATGAAACAATCACATTAAAAACAAAGGCAAGCAAAGTCGCAATAAAAAAAGTATAGGTAGATCAGTTGATCCAAATATGTTTCACCTGGTTTAAAGAGACTTGAAACTCCTGAACACCA